CAAAGGCTAGCCAGTGCACGCAACCTTACGATCTCCACAGTCTGTTCGTAAACAGTCCGTCAACAACTACACTCTGATGCAGGAAATCGAAACGAGTGCCACACACCCTCATGGCATGTTTCGGTCCAACTGCGCCGCGTATGCATAGGGCCTTTAGTGTTGCAATACGTATACACAGTAGGCATTAGACGAAAACTCACACCTCGTCAGCCACAGAGCCTAATCACATCATTAAAGGCTGCCAGCCTCGGACAAACCACAAAAGAGGGAAGAGTGAGAGAAGTACTAAGGCATCCTGCCTCATAGCACCTTGCAGCATTCTTTGCCACAGATAATCTCACTGAAAGACACCACCTGGCAGTCCCCTGTTAAAAGGGGTAATTGATCTTTTTCTGAAAAGAATATCGAAATGCAATGCTGCTTAATGAAGCCCTTCAGTTATTCGCATAAATTGGACCTATGACAACAATTATTCTCTTCTACCTGGTACATATACAGGGACCAGGCCGTGCGGGACACAAGTGTGGTCCATTAGCCTTCACGCTTACTGTGTTTACCTTAATCTCCAGTCCTCTTGCCTTTGTCGTACAGTGAAGTAGAATGAGTATGCCAGATACCTTGCAAGTCTGATTCACTATACACAGTTTCACGCTCAAGTCATCTGTGCGGCCTCCATATAGTGCTGAACCTTTTACTGGCCTGTGTCTGTACACGATTATTTCTTTTTTAAGTTCATAATCTGCTGGAATGACTTTTCTCGAGACACCCATTTGATTGGTAGTCCTTGTACGGTAAACTACTCTGATCACATTCCCGCTCTATGAAGTATAGTAGCTTTCGAGTTAATTTTACCATACTATAATCTAAGATCTCATATAATAGGGCCGTATACGCAAGACGCAATCTTTAGTTGGTGTATCAAAGCTTTCGTTTAAGAATAAAGCAGAAGTCTAGGCATTCTTTGCAAATAAACCTTAACGTTTAGACCAAGAAAGGTGAAATAGAATAAGTAAATATTTTTGTGAAATTTCAGTCCACCTACTTTAGTCCCCGCGTCTCCGTAGGTCTGTTTCCCGATAGACTGACAAAAGTAAGATTTTGGACAAGTAAATCAACTTGTACCCCC